GATACTGACTCGGAACTGACGACATCTCGAGCATCTCGAATTCCCACTTACAAAACCGAGCCGTTGCTTACTTCCTTGAACCCAATGGAATTTGCTTCGGAATCAGCCATTCTCGATCCAGATATTCAAAGAATTCTTGAATCTGCTGTAAGACTGTCAACACGAAGGTCCTATGCGGCGAAGTGGCGTCGATTCTCATCTTTCGCTGAATCCCACTCGTTTGTTCCTGGACTGGCTTCTATAGAAAACATATTACAATTTCTTTTAGAGTTGCATCGTTTGGGACTTAAACCCTCATCCATAAAGGTTTATGCGGCTGAGATTTCACATTACCGTGGTGCGATACAGGGCTCATCCATTCTTTCGCAACCAATGGTTAGATGATTCATCAAAGGATTACAGAACCTTCATCCTTCAATTTGCCCTGTCATGCCCACTTGGAGCCTTTCAGTTGTACTACAGGCACTTACTAGAGCTCCCTTAGAATCGCTGGCGACTATTGACTTACAACTACTATCTTGGAAAACTGCCTTTCTCATAGCTGTCATGTCAGCTCGGAGAGCTAGTGAACTTTGTGCTCTTCGAGTAGATTCACCGTATTTGAATTTCCATAAAGAAAAAGTCATTCTTCACATGGATTCAACATTTTTACCGAAGGTTGCCAGTCCATTCCATATGAATCAGGAGACCATTTTACCTGCTTCCTTTCCATCACCATCAAACCCGATTGAAAGATCTTTGCATGCTTTTGATGTTCGGCGTTGCTTGGTGTTCTACAGATCACTTACAGAGTCGTTTCAGCATTCTGATCGACTCTTCCTGAAATACTCTGAACAAGACAAGGGCTCTCCAGTCACGTCACAAAGACTTTCGAAATGGATTGTTCAAACTATCGTGTTGGCATATCAACTAGCAAAGATGGACTTACCTGTTTCTCTGAGGGGTCATTCCACACGAGCAGTAGCGGTATCATCTGCCTTCACCGCAGGAATTCCAGTTCAAGATATCTGTAGAGCTGCAACATGGGCTGCTCCGTGTACCTTTGTTAAGCATTACTGCCTTGACGTGCGTGCCAGACAGGATTGTTCTTTTGGCAGAGCAGTCCTCTCAGCTATTCTTCATTGACGACACCTCCCTCCTCTGAATCTGGTAAGCTTGCTAGTCACCCATATGTGTGATGCATAGAGGCCACGACGAAGAAAAGCAGGTTGCTTACCTGTAACTGATGTTCTTTGAGTGGCCATCTGTGCATTCACACAACCCACCCGCCAGCCCCGCTCGGTGTCGGTGAGTGGATTCGTCTCTTGGTACCATGCCTTAATACTCATGGTATATAGTGAACTTATTGCAATATTTTCTCTCCCAAAAGGGGGCGAATGATCGGTCTTTCAAAGACTGGAGAAAATGACGGACACTCCGCTCTATATATAGTACTGAGGGGGAGGGGAGCGGAGTTTTCCCGCCAAAAACCGTTAGCTTTCTAATCTTTCTGGCCTTAGGCGCTGCGCAGGCGCAGCACCCATATGTGTGAATGCACAGATGGCCACTCGAAGAACAACAGTTACAGGTAAGCAACCTGCTTTTACCGACTCCTTGTTGGGAGTGACAAGGATGGCATTGTTGCACAATCGTTCTCGTGGACTGCTGGCTTCATCCCAGATGATTTGAAATCAGAATGTGAAACAACTTACAGTGGGATTGTGGAGGATGAGCTAGGTTAAGATGTTGAACTGAAGGAAGTGGAGGTGATTATCTCAAAAGCAGGCACTTCATGGAGCCAGGCAGTTTCTGGGTGGGATATAAATATAATGAATACACTCTAGCAACCTAAAGAAATGTGTGTGATATGGTGACAGCCACATCCATTTCAGTGGTTTGGGCATTGTTCTACTAGCATTGTTGGGTTACCTTTATTTTGTAGCTGAATTTCACTTTGAGATGTAGATGTATTACAAATAAATCCTCTCTTGTAATGATCAACCATCCCTGAGGCCCCACCTCCCAGTGGCTGGCGAACAGTGAACAGGAGCGAAGGAGTAGGCATGTGAGCTTACAGTGAGTGTGCTGAGAGTGCGGCTCCATGCTGCCCCTGTTCATTGTTCATGAAGGTGGAACCCACTGCACAGAGGAAGAGTGTGCTGAGGAGCGACTCCTCCTCTTCCTCCCCTTAATGGAAATGGTAGTCCCTCATGTGCAGTGGGCTGAAGAGCTGCCTACAGCTACCACTGCAACCCGTCTGGGACCCTGTGCTGGTATGTGCCCCTTTTCAGGACATCAAGGCAGCCATGGCAGTGCACTCATGAAAGAGGACTTGCACAGTCCCTTCCCTTCCCAAGGAGCCCCTAGCCAGTTCTCTGTTCCCCCCGCCACACACACACATTCTAGGATGAGCAATTGATAGACATTAAGTATAATTTTGAAACTTTGTTTGCCTAATACTGTATTTGCAATTGACATACATCATTTTTACGAATAAACTTAGGAAATGGAAAATGTTTATTTTTACATCATTGATACTATGGTGTGGCTTGTTATTATGTTTGAACCCAACAACCGTGGTGAAGTGTGGTAAGGTTGGTTTCTCTTCAAGCAGAGAAACAACAGTCTGTTCTATGGTTTCCAAGCTTATCCATGGCTTGCTTTCTTGTCTGAATGCAAAAACCATGGTTCTGCATGGTGTCCATGTTTCTTCCATAGAGTTCTGTGCAAAGAGCAAAAGCAGCTTGTTGCTGTCCTGGTCTTCCTAGCAGCTGCTGACCTGTAGGCAAAAGGGCTCTGATTGGTCACTCTGTGCCCCCCCCCTTTTCCATTTGCTCTCTTTGGATGGCCACCTGCAGCTTCAGAATTTTGGAGTCGCCATGCCACACTGCTCCCAGCAGCAGTGACTGTGGGGCTGGGAATTTCTGTCACTCCTGTCCACTTGCTGCAGGTTGCTTGGGTAGTATCTGGAAGCTGTTTAGTGTGTGGTCTACTCATGCAACAATTGCTTTCTTTTTGAGAAGGTTGCCTACATATAGGAGGAGCACACAGGCTGTACACAGGCATCACTAACTGGGCACTTGCTTTAGAAAGTCTTTATCTTCCATTCTGTCTCCCGCCCTCCACTTCACACCTATCTTGTTTCTGACTTTCCTTGGGACTGTCAACAAGCCCTGCTGTTCCCTACCTCCCTGCCAGCTGCACAACAGTGTTCAAACAGCCAGCAGGAAAAATTTCCCAGGCAAATGCCCACATACTTTCCTTTGGAAAAGTCTGCATGGCAGGATGTGCGCTCTCCATCTCTGGCATGAGTGCCTGCACTGATGCTTACTGTGTGCTTGGCTGCAGGGCAGGGGGCAGCCACTGGCAGCATATGCAAATTCTGCACATGGGAAGCATGACCATATGTGCATTCAGGAAGGGGAGAGAGGTGTGTTTGTGTTTGCAGGTTTGCAAAGAGCAAGGCAGCAGTGGGGAATGCTAGTGTTTCTAGAGAGCATCAGTGATACTTTAGTTGCCTTCCTGTGCAACAGCAAACAAAAATGAAAAGCAAGCAAACAAAAATGTCATCAGCAGCTGGCTGAGATTATGGCCAGCAGAGTTTGTGGGTCAGTGAGGGAGAGAGAGGTAACGTAGGCAGGACCAGTGCATGCTGGAAACAGTTTTTCAGTTGGGATATGTGGCACCCTTTAATGCATGGGATATAGGCTGCATGGGCCGATGGCATATGTGTTACCCTTCAGAGTAAAGATGGAAGAGGGTAGAAATCACTCATGTGCAGAAACCATGTGCCTGTCTGAACCCAGGCCCCAAGCTTGGATACCATGCAGCATGGTTGATTTTTATGTTTGAATGCAGCCTATGTACAGCTAGTATATTTGTTTTCCCCTACAGTTATTATCTTGTTATAGTTTCTGTAAGCTAGCAAATACTACTCACCTAATTGGTCACCTGTGGACTGTCTTTCCAAAAAGAAGGCACCATCTTAACTTCAGGTGTAGCTTTAGGTACCACTTGTCCCAAATGATTAGACTCTGTGAGTAAATACACCTCACTGGACAAGATACATTTTTCTTTACTTAGCAGTAGCCATTTAGTACTCCTAAATTGGATTGTGGTCAGAGTGCTAGGGGCTAGTCCTTTCCCCAATTCTTTGAATTGCACAATGCGTATGCATCAAATTCTCCAGTACTGCAACCATGATCCAGTCCTACTCCCCAGTTCTTTAAGGAAAAAAGAAAGCAAAAAATAAAGATGTCAGGAGATTGGATTTTAGAGATCTGATCATGATCTTCTGTAATGAGGAATTTGGCCCTCTAAACATTGTTTAAATTAGTATACTAATCAGTATACTAATACGATGCTATTTTGTGCTGCAGTATACCACATAACATGTTGGCATAGTTGTTAAGCAAGTTTATATCACCCAGAGACATAAATGGGAAAAGTAGATGAAAGCAGGTTTTAGCAGTCCGTGCTGCCAGGAGGAAACTCTTCTGTTAAAGACAGATGGACAGACATACAGGGAAGGGGTAGGGTAGCTCTGTTGGTGAGTGCCAGAAATGATCTGAGAGCATGCTGGTACATACATGCACATAAATATACAACATGCATGCTGTGTTGCTTACCGTAGTGTACAATATCTTAATAAATAGAAAATGACAATGCACAATACTGCAATATATGAGTATCAAAATAAAATATGCTCCATAAAATGATATATCAAAATGTATAGTGTATACTTACTAGATATAACACAATGAACCAAAAGTAGCCATGTGTTATCTGGACATCTGGAATCCTGGTATGGTTCTCTGTTGTTCCCAAGATGAACATTCCCTCTTCCACAAGCAGCAGTCCCCTAGCACCACTGGCTGGAACTGGCTTTAGTGGGGAACCACTGTTACACCTTACCTTCAACTCCCAACTTGGTAAGAATATACAGAAATATATCAATACAATTACTTCTACAATAGTGACTGTAATCCTGTTACTAATAACTGTTTTTCTCTCTTTTACAGTTAAAGAAATTTTTGTAAAATTGATTTTAAAATTCTTTGCAAGTGCTGTATTTGGATTTTTGAGTTCACGCTTGGTTATATTCTGGTTGCAACACATTTTCAATGATGGAGTTATTGAAGTAGTTTTGAGCTTTTCAATGGCATACATAATTTTCTTTGTTGGTAAGTTAATCATATTGTTCTACCAAATGCAATGCTTAATGTTTAACTTTTAAAGTAGGCACAAATAATCATGAAAAGGCCATTTTAATTAATTTTAATTTGTTTCTCTTTCTGCATTTAGCTGAATGGCTTGGGATGTCTGGAGTTATAGCTCTTTGTATTCTGGGTCTTCTTTTAGATTCTGTAAGTTTTAGCCCAGGAATGGATGTATTTCTTTATAAGTAAGTGTTTATCCTTTAACTTTCTGTTTGCAGCAGCTTGAACCTATAGGATTGAAGTAGTTCTAAAAATTTGATAAGACTAATTCCAGTTCTTTATAATATAGAACATTGAACTTGAGGAGTTTCAGTTGTTAAGTTTTGCACATTTCTAATCCAAGTTTTAAAAATGTATTTCCAGTCCAAATATATTGTTAATCAAACTGTTCATATGGTAAAAATGTTTAGAGAGGAAACCTTTGCAAGAAATTTATTTTGCTGGGGGATGGGATGGTGAGGGAAAGCTTTGGTATTTTAGCTAAGCTGTCATTGCCTGTAGCATATAATTATAGACCTTTTCTTTACGGACATGGCTTAATATGTGCTTTAATTTTCTTTTCTTAACCAGGTTCTGGGCAATGTTGACATTTTTGGCTCACATTATGATATATCTGATAATGGGAATTGTTATAGCCCAAAAAACATTTCCATATATAAATACCCGTGCTTTTTTTTATATTGTAACAGTCTACCTTTCGTTGAATCTTGTCAGGTAAGAATTGTTTTCCTGCTTTTTTGGTTTCGATTAATGTTGCAGTATTTACAAAGCTTGCATAGTTAATAGTGTTACATTGGAATCCTATATGCATTCACTTGGGAACAAGGACATTCATAGTCTGTTAGAATTGTATTATTGTATTATTAGAATTCTTACATTACCAAAGAATTATCAAAAATTTGGCAAGCCCAACGTATTTTTATGTTTTTGGCCTCAGGAACCCCATGTACTCGCCCAAATAATTGCAAGGTAGCTAGCAAGGGTGTGAACAGGACTTCATACTTAATCTTGATTAGTTGCATATCCATGTTTCAAATCAAGCCACTTCCACAGTTATTGATCTGGATTGTAATATGCAGGCTGGAGAAAAACTGTTCCTATTGATACATTTGGCTGCTTCTATTTCTGCAAGTGTAGGAGCAAGGAAGAATAGTTCATTCTCTCATTTTCTTGTCTTTCTTCTTGTTGCTGGGATCATTGCTAACAGCAGTAAAGATTGTCCCTGGGTACAAATTCCATTCCTGAGAACATGCTATCAGAAGTCATGAAAAAGAGCTTTATTTTGGATTATAAATGCTATTAGAGAAGCTACATCTTATGTAATATAGGATGACAAATGCTTAGAGAAGATATAATTAATTAATCTGGACCTGTTGTCTAATATGGGTGCCTTCTAAACTTTATTCTGTAGCATACTGCATATTTATTTTTGTTAATTATTGTTTCATTTTATTCACTCAGGGCTTTAGTTGTTTTGGCATTGAGCCCTTTTCTGAGTCGTCTTGGTTATGGATTTAATTGGCGTTGGGGAGCTATTATTGTTTGGAGTGGAATGAGGGGCACATTCACTTTGAACATGGCACTTGGAATTAGCCAAACAGAAAGTGTAACTCCTGCTGAGGTTCACATTAAGACTATGGTAAAGTATTTTTTAGAAGTTTTAAAGATTGGGATCATTTGTGCTTGAAACATGCTTGACACTCTAAATAGAAAGACATACTTCTAATGCCATGTTGTCTTTTAGGTATTTACATATGAGTCGTATATATACACACACACATACATCCATGCATATATTAATGTATGTGTATCACTAATTCTTAGTAAAGGCCCACAGAGCATATTGTATAATGTAATTGAAATATTTGTTTATTTTTGACTTTAAAATATTTCATTTTATATTGCAAACTATATTGAAAGTCAATGATAACACTATATATTATTGCTTATATCAGCTTGTATGATGGCTTAATATTGTTGCACACTTTCTTACCTGTAGTTTATGATCTGTTGCAAAATCTCATTTTCAAGAATTCAAACCCCAGTATTTTGTCGATAAGAAAAATATAGTCTCCTTTCTGTTTACATTTCAGTGTGTGCCTTTGTGCCTTGTGTAATGTAGATGGGAGTTTGTATTAAGCACCCATCAGATAATGTTCCTTGGATTACTGATGAGGCAGAACCATTTCTACCCATGTAAATACATTTTTAAAAAATAGGAGGGTAGTTTCTTTCTAACTACCAACTAGTCAAGCATGGAACATTAATGAAAAGACTTCAACATTTTGTTTCTTTGCCTAAAACGTTTCCCTTCTTTTTGCCTGATGCCTGGCCTCTAGGGTGGGCTAAATTGAAAGAGAGAATTACACACAATAAACTTTACTTTTTAAAAACAACAAGGCATCTGTGCTTGAAAAAGGTACTGCTTCAGCTGTTGGTCTTTAAACTTTCTACCTGATAGTTGCCTGATAGAAAACTAGTCATCCCCCAATACAATGTTGTCCCTATGCTGTTTGCAGTTCTTGGTTCTCCTCTTGACTGAAGTGATGAGTGGAAAAAGTGGCAATGGTATTACCTGTTAATTTATTAGGTTTTAGATGTTATTGTTGCTATACCATTTGCTGCTATTTCAAAATTCCTCAGTGGCATAATTAAGGAAGTGTCATAAGATTTTAAGATATTTAAAGGAAAAAAAATTGCTTGAATGGTTTTTGACCTGAATCCAAATCTGTTGGCTAATCAGATGTGAGCACAGACATAAAATACTTGTTTTCCCTGCTCAGTGATAAATTTTAAAGCTAATAAAATACATTGTTTGTAGCTTGAGGAAAGTCTACCCATTAGAAGAAAGATGATGTTAGATTTAGCAGGACGGTTTCTGCTTGTAACTGGAAGGTTTTTCCTTATTAGATATCAGCACACATTTCCAAAGTTGCAACATTCTGAGTTCTCTGTCACAGTTGTTTCAGTAAGATGCTAATGCTTGAAGATTTTAATCATAACAAAATCATAACTGTGTGTTTCAGCTTCATGAAATAATGTCCAGAAAGTGTCCACAGTGCAAATCATAAGATGGCCAATTTTAAAATGTTTGGCCACACAATGAATGAGATACACCAATTTAACGATATTCTCTTGAAATGTAGCATTCACATATATTTGTCTAGTTTTGGAATCTTCTCTTTCCAGTTCAGGGTGTAAGGAAACAGCAAACACTGCCTGCAAAGATCCACGGCTAGTGCAACAGGAAGCTTGGTGGTTCCTAAGGTAACTGGAACAAGCTGAAATGGTGGTTTCCAAAAAGGGATACATCAGCAAAAATCAGAATGGAGTTCAGCTGACTTGTTCAGAAAACTGTTATTTTGGGTCCCTTCCAGGGTCGCTTTAGAAAGCACTAGCTGCACTGTTGCTCAGCTGGTCAGTCCTGTAGTCTCAACAGAAACATCAGAGGTGTAGCAGCAATATTGGATACTGCCCTAAGATTTTCATGTGAAAAAGAAAAAGCAATCCAGGTTTCATCACTTGAGATGATGCACTATGTCATACTAGGTTTTCTTCTCTATGTTGGCACCATAGAAAAGTAGAATGACATATATGAACACATAATATTATATTACTACTTTTATGTGTAATGGTGATAAAATATTAATTGTTCAAGTGTTTTATGTTTCAGATATTATTGCATTCTGGAACAGCATCTTTGTTAACCTTGATAATTAATTCTACCACTGTGAAAAAGCTGGTAATGACCCTAGGTAATACTTTTAACCTACCTCTTCTTTTTTTTCTTTTGAAAATGAGTGTGATTTATTCATAGTTTTACATATTAGACCAAAGAACCATGAACATGATTGATACCAATTGAAAAATATAGCTAATATTGATAGGATAATTACATTAATTTTCCAGTAATTAAAGTGTTGCCAGTTCCCCACATATCATTTTGTTATCCCATTTCCTTAGATATATATATATATATATATATATATATATATATATATAGTCACAAACCACATATTCATATTGTTTATTCTCCCTTTCTTTTATACCTGGTTCAGTGTCCAGTCTCCAACATTTAGGGTGCAATCTTATGGCCTCCTGATGGAAAGAGCATTTAAAAAATTGATTAAATTAAAATCAATCCTTTTTCAACAAAATGTCACAATTAAATATAAAACCCTATTATTAGCAATCTGTTTGACAGATTGAATCTCAAAAGTAGGCCCCATGAGCTCAATAGGACTTACCTCCAGATAAATATGCACATTATTTTTGCCTAAATCTAATTTTGTTAAGAAATAATTAGCAAAACAGAAAACAATAAAGTTTACAATACCCCATGATCAATAATTAGAATATTACATAAAGGTAACAGAGCAACCCCATTAAAGTCACCCAATAGTTAATCACTTCTGAATATTTCTTACATTGAAACTCCTGGGATGAAGCAATCCAAAGAAACAAGAGATAATGCTAGAATATGAGATTCCCAGGTGGCACTCAACAAGCTACTGGGGAAGAAAAAAGTACTTGTAGAAATAACACTGTTATAACAAAGCAACTAGATCAAAGCTGAAAGGAGGTCCAGTGGCTGACCTGCACAGAGGCCTAAGCAATGTCCAGCGCTGCACAACACGTACAGTTGTTGTTGTTGTTGTTATTATTATTATGGTAATATTTCTATGCCGCCCCTTACCGAAGCCTCGGGGCGGCTTACAACACAATAAAATACATTGAAATACAATAGAACATAATAAATTACCATTAAATACAAAAATACAAAAAAATACATTGAGTTACAAACATAATAATATAAAATTAAAATTATCAGTATAAAATAAGTAAATGAATAATATAGGAGGAGAAAAGAGAAGGAAGAAGAAGTTGCCCTGGCCAGATCATATATTTTAACAATTAAAATGATGTTTAAATAAAAAGTTCTTTACCTGGCGCCGAAAAACCAGTAATGACGGTGCCAGGCGGACCTCTTTGGAGAGTGAATTCCATAGGTTGGGCGCCACCGCAGAGAAAGCCCTCCTCCGAGTACTTACTCTCCTAATTTCCTTCATGGAGGGTTCCCGGAGAAGGGACTCTCCCGCAGATCTCAAAGGGCGGTCGGGCATATACGGACGTAAGCGCTTGTTCAGGTA